TCAAGGTAGGTAGATTTTATCAGATAGAAAGAAAGAAAGAATCAGGCATAGATAGATAGATAGATAGATAGATAGATAGATAGAAAGGAATTGACAGTGATAGAGAGAAAGGTGTCTATTATAGAAATGAGAAAGAAAGAAATAAAGAATGAAAGAAAGAAAGAAAGAAAGAAAGAAAGAAAGAAGATAACATGCATATAAGAAAGAAAGAGTAGTAAATTTTAAAAACAATGGATCCAATAGATACAGGTTGATGTACATTTTGATAGGTAGATAGATAGACAGACAGGAACTGACAGTGATAGACAGAAAGGTGTATATGGTAGGAATGAAAAAGAAAGAAAGAATATAACACACATATAAGAAAGAAGAAGGAGGAAAGGTTAAGAACAATGGGATGAATAGCAAATGATCAAGGTAGTTATGGGTTGATATAGATTTAACAGATATTGATAGATAGAAACAGACATAGATAGATAGATAGATAGATAGATAGATACAAACAGATGTAGATAGATAGATAGATAGATAGATAGATAATGGCATTCCAATTGAAAATGGGAACAACACTTGTCATTATTTTGAATTATCTTCTCTTGTAGGGAGTATCAGTTGTAATGCCGTTGGTAATTACGTAGATATCACCCAGTTCTCCACACCCAATTTACCTGTCATGCCATCAAGTGCAGAGAACAAGATAAAGCCGACTGACAACTTTCACACGATATATATATATATATATATATATATATATATATATATATATATGAACGTCTCGCCTCTTCCATCAGTTGCAGTGTAATTTTATTATTTCGCAATGTAATTTGCTAATCACCTCACTGTGCGTAACACGACCTGATATTACATGAATTATCCCAACAAATATGAGCTTCATGTTTCTCCATCCGCTGTAACAATTCAGTTCTCATATCTTTTATACTTTCTGGAGTGTATGTAAAATCAAGAGCATGCTTTTATTTAAAACCGTGTCCGTTTAGGCGATGACTCGTCGCCACAGATCATTTTCTTTATTGGCCGACTTCAAGTGGAACTCGTACATACAATCCATTGCTAAGGATGCAGATAAAATGGTAGGCTCCATGTTTCGTTCTAATAAGTACCTGATTTCTGTTATCTCATTATCAGATTCAGAACACGGGAAAAAAATGAAGCACTTTTGTCATATTTGGGCGGAACCGACTCCCAATCTTAACCTGCTTAACCGTTATCTTCCAGTCCTATACACACAAATGTCCTCCTAACGTAACTTTCTACCTTGAGTAGCTCCCGGGCCTTGTAAAGTGTTGAACTCACTGAAAAAAAATATGACTTGACCTAGTCGAGTTTTTTTTCCCCGTTACTTTCTTTAAGTTTTTCGAAAATATAGTTTTTCTTCTCTTACAATGTTTGCGGTCTAAGACTAGAAAAACATTCTACTTTAATACTTAATCCGTAGATAAGGGGGGAAGATAGATTTGTACATTTCCTAAGTGTATTTTTGCAAAAGAGAACATAACTTCATCTGCCGGAGTTTGAACTCGGATCGCTGTCCCCGTCACATTACATAATTGTATAATACTGTTCTTACCCCAAAATTGGTAAAAAAAAAAATCATTACTTTTTTAAGACTTGTTGTATCTCCTTCTTTAATTCAACGCACGTTTGATGAAAATGCTTTTATTAACTTTTCTGACTCGTTTGTGGTCAGGGATAATAAAAGTATTTTTTTCTCGCTGATACTGGATGTGTGGGTGATGTAATAAATAGCAGCCTAGAATGAAAAATCGGAGAGTTCAAATTCCAGTTGGGTTCGTTATATTCACTTACGTTCAAAAACCATTAAGAAAGGTACGAATTGTTGACTGTGAAATTCTAAATAGAACTGTTATTCATTCTCAAGAAAGATTTCTCAACGATGTAACATACAAAAATATTCTCACATTCTAGAATATTTTTCGGCATTAAATTAGCTTCAGTCGTTTGACAAATTTTAAAATCATCATAATCATGAGATTTGTAACCTCTTAGGGTCGTAGAAGCATCACGCTTACTGCTGTGGTCTTTCCTGGTCATGACAGCTTGAGGCAGACCAACCCTCTCCAAGTTGGTAAAAAAAGTAAATAAATCTTCAATGATACTTAGAACTTCTTTCAAATTTCACGACGTCTGTTGAACACTTCTTTTTTTTCATTCAGATTTCAAAATAAGTTTTTTTTTATAATCTCCATTTCCTAGGGAGTGACGTTGATATCACGATTAACGGCATGAAAAATGGAACAATAGAACTGAGTTCAAATTTCAGTCTACGTCATTTGCGTTACCTTTTGCCAAGGAAACGGTGCAAATCTGACTTTTGTTCCCTGTGTGCCATGTTGTCAGGTAGAGTGGATTTGGTACTACAACCAATCAAGGAAAAAGAAAACTGTATTCACATCCCGCCTAAAAAAATAAAATTAGTTCCGACAGGATCCCTTGTAATAAATGCATACATTGCTATTAAACAGCAACGATCCGATAACAGGGTACATCAAGTTTTAACTCATTCTTTTCATAATTTACTCAAGCTGCTAAATTTGATTGTTTTAATAATTTACACATACTTTTGTTATTTCTATTAATGTTTTTTTTATTATAAAGTTATTACAATTCGATCGATTTATATTCAAGCGAGACACAAACTAGCTTCACGTAATATAAAGATTATCTATCCTGAATGATGCCTTGACAAATTAGGAAACTAAAAATATAATGTGACCAGAATATTATCATTAGACTTTCCATAAGAACATATTCCACGCTGCATATTTCTCAGATCTATATTTAAAATGGCTTCAATCAAAATAAAACCTATAAATATAAAAATGACGAGTTTTCATCAGGTGCTATAGACTCACAAAGATCGTTAACAAATAAGAAAAACCACATCACATGAAGACATCTAGCAACAAATACAAATGCGTACCAAAATTAATTTGGTTGCTTTTGTTTGGTTTGTATTAGGGCATATCAAACTCAATGAGTTGTTTAATGCCGACAAATTTTTATTGCTAGTAATTTTTTTTTAAAATATATTGCTGGTAATATTTTTTTCAATGAATGTATTGCTGGTAATATTGTTTTCAAAAATGTATTGCTAGTAATATTTTTTTTCAAAAATTTATTGCTTGGAATATATATATTTTTTCATAAATGAGTTGCTGGTAATATTTTTTTCTTTTTCAAAAATGTATTGATGGTAATATTTTTTTCAAAACATGTATTGCTGGTAATTTTCTTTTTCAAAGCATCTATTTCTGGTAATGTTTTTTTTTTTTGTTTTTAAACATGTACTGCTGGTAATATTTTTTTCAGAGCATTTAATGTTTTAATGGTAATGTTTTTTATTCAAAACATGTATTGCTGGTAAAATTGTTTTTCAAAACATGTATAGCTCGTAATTTTTTTTAAACATGTATGATGACTACTGAATGTAGATTTGGTTTGCCCATGACTAGTACCACATTTAGATTTGGCTGACACATGACTAGTACTACAGATAGATATGGTTGTCCAGTGACTAGTACTACAGATAGATTTGGTTGGCTCATGACTAGTACTACAGATAAAGTTTGTAACACAGATCGATTTGGGTGTTACATGAATTTTAACACAGATATATTTGGTAGATTGGGTTTGCCCATGAACAGTAGTATAGATAGATTTGTTTGGCCAATGACTAGTACTACATGTAGATTTGGTTGGCCCATGACTAGTACTATATGTAGATTTTGTTGACACATGACTAGTAGTACAGGTAGATTTGGTTAGCCCAGGGGTAGTAATACAGAGAGATTCGGTTGGCTCATGACTAGTATTACAAATTGATTTGGTTGGCCTATTACTAGAACCATAGATAGATTTGTTTGGCCCATGACTAGTAGTATATTTAGATTTGCTTGGCCAGTGACTATTAGCACATGTAGATTTGCTTAGCGCAAAATCAGTACTATAGATAGATTTAATTGGCCCCTGAATAGTTCCACAGATAGATTTGGTTGAACCATGACTAGAACTGCAGATAGATTTGGCTGGCCCATGATTAGTACCAGAGATAAATTTGATTGACCTATGACTAGTTCTACATGTAGATTTGGTTGGAACATGACTAGTATAATATATTGTTTTGGAGAGCCCATGACAAGTACTAAAGATAGATTTCTCTGGACCATGGCTAGTACCATAGATGTATTTGATGGTCCCATGTCTAGAATTACAGATAGATGTGGTTGACGCATGAGCACTACTACAGATTTGGTTAGAACATGACTAGTACTCTAGTACTAAAGATATATTTCGCTGGTCCATGATTAGTACCACAGAGAGATTTGGTTGAACTATGACTAGTAACAGAGATAGATTTGATTGGCCCATGACTAGTATTATATATAGATTTGGTTGGCCCATGACGAGTACTACAAAGAGATTTGGTTGGCCCGTGACTAGTATCACAGACGACTTTGGATGGCCCATGATAAGTACTATAGATACATTTGGTTGGCTCATTACTAGATCTACATATAGATTTGGTTGACCGCTGACTAGTACCACAGATAGATTTAGGTGGTCGATGACCTGTACTACAGATAGATTTGGTTGGCCCATGACTTGCGTCAGAGATAGATTTGGTTGAAACATGAGTAGTACTAGAGATACATGTCGTTGTCCTGTGACTAGTACTAGAGATAGATTTGGTTGGCCCATGACTAATACTAAATATAGATTTGTTTGGCCCATGACAAGTAGTACATGTAGGTTTGGTTGGTTGATGACTATTACTACAGATAGATGTAGTTAGCTAGATTTGGTTGACACATGATTAGAACTACATGGAGACTTTGTTGACACATGACTCATACTACATTTAGATTTGGTTGGTCTATCACTAGTACCAAAGATAGATTTGGTTGACCTAGGACTAGTACTACAGATAGATTTGGTTGACCCATGACTAGTACCACAGATTGATGTGGTTGGCTTAGGACTAGTACTAGAGATAGATTCGGTTCACCCATAACTAGTACCACAGATTGATTTGGTTGGCATCGATTTGGTTGGTTCGTGAGTAGTACGAGATATTAATTTGGATATCATATGACTACTGCTAAAGATAAATTTTGTTGGCCCATGACTAGTACCACAGATACATTTGGTTGACCCCTGACTAGTACCACAGTTAGATTTAGGTGATCAATTACTTGTACTACAGATAGATTTGGTTGGCCCATGATTTGTGCCAGAGATAGATTTCGTTGCAACATGAGTAGGACTAGAGATACATTTTGTTGTCCTATGACTAGTACTAGAGATAGATTTGTCTAGCCTTTGTCTAGTACTATATGTAGATTTGCTTGGCCCATGACTATTAGTACATTTAGACAATAACCAGTGCTACAGATACATTTCGTTATGACTAGAACTGCAGATAGATTTGGTTGGCCCATGATTAGTATCGGAGATAGATTTCGTTGGCCTATGACTAGTTCTACCTGTAGATTTGGTTGGCCCATGGCTAGTACTTCAGTTAGACGAAATCAGTTCGAGTCATTACTTTCTTGCATCATTACCCCCCCCAGGTGGTAAAAAACAGAATTCGTACAACTGCATATCATCCCGAAGCTGTCGTCCATTAATGAAAGTGTTCATCCTGATATCGAATTATATGTCTGACATTTAGGACATTCCTTTGTTCTTAGTAGTATTTAGATCAGCTGTATAATCGTTTACAGGTAACTTTCCCTATTTCTAATCACAGCGAGGGAATTTCACCGCAAGGTAATTTAAAGGTGAGAAATGTTTACCGCAGGGAAACATCATCGTATTTTAGCTTTAGATTTTATAATTAGAAATCTCAGTATATATATATATATATATATATATATATATATATATATATATAAATTCAAATTTAACAGAGAGAAGTTTTAAAGAGAGCAGTTAAATAACTGTTTAAATGAGGGGGATACAGATAAATATTTTCAGATTCCTAATTCATATGTGGTGACACTATGCACAATAAAAACGATATGATATAAACTTAAAATCCAGCAGCTTCATAATGCCGAGTTATATGTGAAAATTTTCCGTCTGCTTTGCATTACTAATCGTATGTATACAACGAAAGAGAAGATGAGATAGAAGAAAAAATGGTGGGGGGGTGAAAACTAAAAAAACGAGGGAATTTATAATAGAACTTAATTGTAATCAAGAATAATTAGACAAAGCAAGTAAAATAACCTACAATTTACAAATTTAACGTAAGCATATAGAAAAAAATTTAAAGAATATTTAATCTAGTAAATTCCTACTATTTATATGCCCCCAAAACACATACGTATATACACACATACACAGCAACATATCTATACATACTCATACATAAATACATATACACATACGTGTGCATATATATATAAATATATATACATGCACTCATGCATACATATACACATATACACATAGACATACACATATGTGCACACAAACACATATACATAAAACCTTACACACATTCATACATATACATAGACACACTCATCTAAACATATATACAGCGTATATATATATATATATATATATATACATATATATATTTGGTTGGATAGATGTGAGTTTGTGACCCTGGGTTTCACGCTTTAGCGATCGTCAGACAAACTGATTACTGTTTTAAAAAATTTGGGTTTATGTAGATTGCGTGTATTGGTGTTATTGTGGAAGTGGTGGGGAGATTTCGTCGTTTTGTCATTCATCGTACTAACGCAAACATCGATGTATGCAGACACATATACATATACATACTTGGTCGTCCGTCGGGACTCATACATATATATAAACATATGTAGACAGTTTCGGCTATGACACATGTATGTATACGGGTGGTGTTCAGGAAGAAAATAGTGAACGCCCTAAAAAACATTGGATTCATAATAGAGATAAATACAGGCACAACTATAGTAAACTTCCTTGACGCCACTCTTAACCTGATCAACAACACATATGAACCATACAAAAAGAAAATGACACACCAACTTACGTACACACATCCTCCAACCATCCACCTTCTATCATCAAACAAATACCAAAGTCAATCAGCCGCAGACTATCTGAGAACTCATCTAACATGCAAATTTTCAATAGCAAAATGGCACCATACAACGAAGCACTAAAAGCAATATATACAACTACAATATATACCTCCACAGCCAAAACGCAGAAACAGAAAGAGAAACATTATCTGGTTTAACCCACCATATAACAAAACTGTTAAAACGAACATAGGCAAAATATTCCTAAACTTAATAGAAAAGCACTTCACTGAAGAAAACAAATTATCAAAAATATTTAACAAAAAATAACGTAAAGATCAGTTACAGCTGTACAAAAAAACATAACAGATATAATCAAAAACCACAACAAAAAAATGACAACCTACAAAAATGTAACCAAGGATCCTATATGCAACTGCAGAAACAGAGCAACATGTCCACTCCAGGGAAATTGCCAAATTACGAACACAATATACAAGGCCAAGGTAAGTACAAACAACAACACTATGCACTACATCGGTGCCACCGAAGGTCCATTCAAGATGAGGAATAACAATCACAACCTTTCATTCAACAACAGGAAATATTCGAACAGCACAACACTTTCTACATACATATGGCAGCAAAAAGACAAAAACATCACACCAACAATAAGTTGGGAAATATTGAAAAAAGCCCTGCCTACAACAACATTACGAAAAATGCCTACTTTGCCTACACGAAAAAGTAGCAATAATATCACACAAACCGCAAAAGAACTTGCTAAACAAAAAAATCAGAGATAATCTCCAAATGTAGGCATGAGAACAAGTATCTATTATCCGAATTCATACCAAACGGATAAAACAGACAAACCACCAACAATCACAATTTAATTTCAAGATACCATCAAAATAATTGCACCTATCATTATTATAATTGCACCACCATTAGTAATCACTTTTACCACCTTACAATATCTATTAACTATCAATATTATCATTACCACCTACACACAGCACCATCACTTACACATCACACCCACTATTAACATATAATCCACTACAATCTTTATTACCCCCCAGCATATTTAATACTTTAAAACAATATGATCAGATATAATTTCCATATGTAACCATGAGAACAAACACCTATTACCAGGCAGCTTTAATATAATAATAATAATTTTGTAATTAAAAATTATAGCAATCTTCAACTACCATAATTTTACATAGAATACCTATTATCAGGATTTATACCAAAATAAATTAATACATATAACAAAATAAAACAAAAATAAAACACCAACAACCACTTTTTTAGTTCAAGCTACCACCACTATAACTACATTCATGGTTTTATCATTCTCCCACCACCGTTACTAATCATTTCTACCAATCTGCAATTTCTTCCAGTTTACAATAACTATTAGCTAAAACCTAAATAGCATTGTCTCCAATCCTTTGAAACATTACTATCACATCATATCATATAAAACCCGTTATTAAATTAAACATCACCATATAAATTAAACAATAAGGATTACAATTTTTTACCTGTTACATATACACAGTCACCAAAAACAAACAAATAACCAGCTTTAAATATAACAAATAAACCCCATTTTTTCAAAAATTTAAAATAAATATAAATAATTTAATAATAATTTTACCTATCATAATTTTACACAAACCCCACCACACATATATACATACATGCGAGAAAATATTTTTTAAATATTTTCAACGGAAAAAAAAAAAAAAAAAAAAAAATTTCATAATATGACATGGATACATTCACGAGACAATAACGAGACATTTCCGCCACACTTCCAATGTTTAAATTTCAACATTTCAACATACAAATGCGTATGTATAACCATAACACCACCCGTATACATACATGTGTCATAGCCGAAACTGTCTACATATGTTTATATATATGTATGAGTCCCGACGGACGACCAAGTATGTATATGTATATGTGTCTGCATACATCGATGTTTGCGTTAGTACGATGAATGACAAAACGACGAAATCTCCCCACCACTTCCACAATAACACCAATACACGCAATCTACATAAACCCAAATTTTTTAAAACAGTAATCAGTTTGTCTGACGATCGCTAAAGCGTGAAACCCAGGGTCACAAACTCACATCTATCCAACCAAATATGTTAGCTCTATCTCTGATATTGAGAGCTTTCTAATAAGTACCGCGCATATAATATATAAATAATTATACATATATATATATTTATTTATATTTATATTCACTTTTCACATATATATATATATATATATATATATATACTAGCAGCATGGCCCGGCATTGCCCGTGCTTGATTCAAAAATCGTAAGACTCATACAGCAATCGCTATCACTTGACTTAAAATATGTTTGCACTTCCTTGCCTTTAAAGGAGAGCTCTTTGCCGTGCTGATGTTTCTACATGCCCTACTTCTTGCCTATCTCACACTGCGAATTTTTCTAAGCTCTATACTAAACATTAAATCTGTTACGAAAAAAGAACTAAACAAAATGAACGCAAAACGATCAGCTTTAAAAAAAAGGACTCTGGAAAAACCGAATGAAAAAAGAATGTTAACAATAAATACTTTTTCTTACCCAAACCAGTTCTGCGGAATCAGAATCAACGTTGAATTTAAGCAAGCGAATGAACCAATTGGAGTAAAGTGCCATGCAGATTAAAATTTTTCCCACTTCTCATTCTAACCAGGAGAAAATGGCCGCAAAGTACATGAAAACTGCAGTAGAAGCATGAAAAAATCGATTATTTCCACTATCGATGCGAGTTGGGAAATGCAATGTCGGTCTTGGCCTCCCCACTAACTTGGAGCATGTGCATGTAAATTTTGGTGCAAATTCGTCGAAAATTGCGCCCGTGCATTCGTTACACACACACACATGCCATATATATATATATATATATATATATATATATATATATATATATATATATATACATATATATAATTAAAAGGTAAAAAGTAAGCGGTAAAAAACACACATCCATGCATACATACATTTAACATATAAAAATAGATGGGTAGAATTAAACTAATTTGCACTTAAAATAACTACTGAGGAAGAAAACGTTAGCAATATTATAAAAAAAACACATGGAGTGATTAACGCGTATATATCTATTAAATCTACGTATGTGCCTAGGTATCTAAAAATATCAAAAACTATCAGATTTTGTATATCAGTTA